GCAGGAGAAACTTCATCATCCCGTGAGAATAAGGCAATTCAGTCCATCCTCACCTGCCTTCCTTGCAGGAGGAAAGCAAGGTGCAGCCATCCCCCAGGGGATGTGAGATGGGGAACCCTAAGACCCTCCTTGCCCATTTTCAGTCTTCCAGTTGGTGGGATGGGAAGTCCCACGGCCCACAACACATGGCCTCTGGAGGGGGTGCCATGAAGATCCCGATGCCTCCCGGTGGCTGCAGCACCCAGCCATCCCCCACAAAGTAGCAAGGGAGCAAGAAGGAGATTCCTGGATGGGTTTTCCTTGGGGCGGGCAGAGCGTTGAGACAGAGGTCTGAATCCCCCCCACAGAGGCATAAGGGGGAATGGAAACAGCAGTGAAATCAGGGGGCCTGCTGGCCGCTGGCACTGGCACAGGAGATGAGATTGTACGCCCTGAAGAATAGCTGGGGTGCAAGAAAGGCAAACCCTTAGTGTAGGGCTCTTAAGGGGGAGATGGAAATAATAGGAAGCGGCTGAAGGGAGATGGCTGGGTTTGGAGGGAGAGCTTCATTCTGGTGACCCTAGAAAGGAGGAAGTGGTAGGGTGGCGAAAGGGGTTAGATAAATTTCCCCTTTTCCTGCCCAAGTTTGGGTCCTGGGCCCTAGGCCAGACCTGCAGCACGGCCCCCACCTCGCAGATCTCTCATGTTCCTGCCCGGACTCTGCTGAGCAGAAGCTGCTGGAGCTGCTGGCAATCTGCCCAGATGGTTGGTGGTTTTGTGAGCAGGGCAGATCTCCTCTGAGGGCTGACCCAAGGGAACCAAATGCCACTCACTGGTGCCTGAGAACAGATAAAAGGGAAAAGACCAGTGCATCCTCTTCAGTACAGACTGCCAAGGCTGGAACAGGAAAGTAACCCCATGTGGGAAGCATTAGCCCTGAAAACCATTTCAGACTAGTCATCAAAAGTCTTTTCGTGCATCGATTGAATAGAACTAACCAATCCTAAGAGACCTCACCAGCATCAGAGCCCTCCCAACCTAACCCCAAGCAGGTAGATCAATGGGGCCTCAGTTGGCACTAATGCTAATCTTTATTCCCATTGCATTGTTCTTTACAGACCAGATTGTCCACTGCTCCACAGAAGTCCATGGGGTTGCACTGATGTGAGTGAAGGGGACAGTTTCTCCCTCTGCTCCTCTTGCATTCATAATGTCTGAGTAATCTTGAGCCTTCACTTTGGGGATATATGCTAGTTAGAGCATTAAACAGAGGAGCCTTCAGATGGTGCTCGTGGGCTGCTTTTTATTTCTCACCAGCAATGTACAGACACTATGCCCTGTTCCACCACCTAAAAATGTGAAACATTTCCTTGCATCTCACACCAAGTACCTGGTGAACAATGTTCTAAGCAAGAAAAAGCTTTTCATTTAAAATGGCATTTTTGTAAAGCTTTATGCACTCCTTTTTTTTTTGACTTGAGAAATTAAAAACTATTAATGACACAAAGAGTTTGAAGGCAAAGATCCTTTTGATTTTCAAATGTAAGTAGTTGAAGGAAAATGAGCATATGTCTTAGTAATAATAAGTGGTGTAAGTCTCTAGTCTGGAAAGGGATGTGAGCATTGTGTAGACTTTGAAATGAATTAGAGCCTGGTAGGCTGATTTAGATCTCTCACCTCCAAATTAAACAGGCTGAAAGTGAATGCCGGTTGTGCGTATTATGGTAGAGCCTCAGGACCAACAAAAACTCGGGTCCCACCGAGGTGGCTCCTGTCCCAAAGAGCTGAAAGTCTGTGACACGTGGTTGCGGCAGGGTAGAGCATACAGGCAGGGAGCACCATGGCTGTATCCAGTTCCATGACTACGTTAGGGATGGGGTCACTTAGGTGTACAAGGTCCATGGGAAGAACAGTGATGGGGGATTTCACAGTGCAGTTTCCCCAAGGTCCCACACCAGTAGCTGGCCTCACCAGTGTGTCATTGAAGGCGACGTTAGTTTGTGGAGATGCCTTGCATTTGAAAGCTTGTCTAATTCAATCCTAACTACACAGTTGGTCCAATAAAAGAATTCCCTGCCTCCCTGTAATGTAGAAACAAATAAAAAAGAGAAGGGAATGGGGGGAGACAACTTCCTTGCTATAAAATAGAGGCCAGGAAGACCAAAACCCCAAGGGCCTGATAAGCTTAATGGCATTTTCAAGGTTATGAAATGACCCATGAATTTTACTTTGGGGGCAGGGGCTTAAGTGGGCAAAGGCTTGGATTTAATCAGAGCACATTGAAAAATATCAGGAATGTTGGATGAGGCCTCGACACACTCCTCTGAGCTGGGGAGCAGGAAGGGCACGCTGAGGGGTGGGAGGCATCACGGCACCCTGGCTTGGTCTCCCCCTCATCTTCAGTTTGGAAAGGCGAAAGCTGAAGGGGGATATGATAGAAGCCTATAAAATCATGAAGTGACCAGGGCGCTGTTCTTCACCAAGTCCTTGTTTGCACAACACATGGTTAACTTGTGGAATTCATTGCCACAGGAGGTGGTAGAGGGACATAGCACAGCCAGGTGTCAAAAAAGGGACTGGTTAAATGCATGGGTGACAAAGCCTTTAGTGGCTGGTGAACAGAGCAGTTGGAGATGTTTCCTCTGGCATCTCTAAAGGGAGGATGCCGGGAGAGTATTGAATAGGAGGTAGATCACCCCCAGAGAGATGTGGTTCGATGCTCTCCCTGTACAGCATCCACTTTGCCATTATTGGAGCCAGGCTGCTGGGCTAGACGGACCATCTGTCTGCCCCAGCCTGGCACTGCCAACGTTCCCTTTAATTTCCCATTTTTAGTCCTTTTCTGGCCTCTTGCAGATGCCAGGTAACATGCCAACACTTTTTTGCCTTACCTCTTCCCACCTCCACCTTTGATCCTTCCTTCCTGGGGGCACCTGACCCACGTCTCAAACAAGTCATGGAGAAGCCCAACTGGAAGGGACCTCCAGAGGTCGCATCTAGCCCAACCCCCTGCTTATGGCCATCCTTATACAAACCATCTTATACCCTCCAACATCATTCTGACCTCTCCCTACAAGTTTCGATTAGAGGGGCCAGACCCTCCAGCCTGCAGGAGCCCCTCTGATCCTAGAAAATGAAGGTTGGAAGAGACCTCAGGAGGTCACATCTAGTCCAACCCCCTGCTCAAAGCAGGACCAGCCCCAACTAGATCATCCCAACCACAATTTTGTCCAGTCAGATCTTTAAAACCTCCAAGGATTTTTTCATAAAACACTGGAAAAGGTTACCCAGAGAGGTGGTAGAAGCTCTATCCTTGGAGGTTTTTAAGACCCAGCTCAACAAAGCCTTGGCTGGGATGATCTAGCTGGGGAGGGTCCTGCTTTGAGCAGGGGGCTGGACTAGATGTGACCTCCTGAAGTCTCTTCCAACCCTCATTTTCTAGGATCAGAGGGGCTCCTGCAGGCTGGAGGGGTTGGCTCCCCAGCCTCCTGCAGGCTGGAGGGTCTGGCTCCTCTGCTCGAAACTCATAGGGAGAGGTTAGAGTGATGATGGAGGGTATAAGATGGTTTGTATAGGGACGGCCCTATGCAGGGGGTTGGACTAGATATGACCTTCGGAGGTCCCTTCCAACCCTAATTTTCTAGGAGCAGAGGGGCTCCTGAGGCTGGAGGGTCTGGCTCCTCTGCTCAAAACTTGTAGGGAGAGGTTAGTGTGACGATGGAGGGTATAAGATGGTTTGTATAGGGATGGGTCCTAAGCAGGAAGTTGGGCTAGACGTGACCTCCGGAGGTCCCTTCCAACCCAAATTTTCTAGGATCAGGGCTTGCAGGCACCAAATCCAGCACCTCTCTGAGTAACCTGTTCCAGCACTTGACCCCCGCTCCTAATGAGGAAGCGCCTTCAAATATCTCACCCAAACTTCCCTTGCTGCAACCTGAGCCCGTGGCCCCTGGTGCTGCCATCTGCCCCCCGCTGAGAACAGAACCGCTGCTTGCTGAGGACTACCTCCCCGTGCATGCAAAGCCGAGGGGGGCATTTCCCAAGGCAGGAAAGGGCGGGGGGAGGAAGCCCTCCTCCCAGGCGCAGGGACCTGCAGGCGCTCAGAGCCTCCCTTTGCACGCCCGGGACAGAGAGGCTCTGTTCGTCTTGGGAGATGCTTTCTGGAGCGCAGGAGGAGGCGTGGTTTTCCCAGGCCTGCCCCCC